AAGAGGAGCGCGCTTCTAGTTCTACTTACGTAGTGAAGGCCTTGCGAGGTAATTTGAAACATTCTGGCTTCACATCCGCCAGATGCGATTGGAAACTATGTGATAAGGACAGGGAGAATTGCTATGAAGCTACGGCAGAAGGGATCCACAAGGTTTGTTATCCCATAGAGCTCTTTTATTCCTTCATGAAGAATTACATTTTTCGCTGCTATTCGCTCAGTCTGTTTTCGGAGACGATCCTAGTAGTTTCCACCACCAACACAGCCCCTTTGCGATAACAACGCGTGACCGTGGAAACAGCCTGTCAATAATGCGTAGGATTGGACACCATGTGGAAGATTGTCCACGGATGACCTGTTGTCGAATCATGTCAACTCTCCTGTTGATCAAATGCCTAATGAGCACTCAGAGCCAAATTCCTGGGAGGTTATGCTTACTCCTGTCTCGTCACTTCTTCTTGCTCTTGCCCTTCCCCGAAGCGCCTGAGCTTCCCGGTTTCCAATCTGGAGGAGAGGGACACTCATGATCTTTGTGCGGGCCACCGCAATTGTTGCACTTGTCCTTGGGAGGCTCGACAGTCTTTGGACCATCGGATTTGGAGGACGACATCGTTGGCGAGGCCACAGGCGATGTCTTCAGTACTGAATGGACTTAATGTAAAGGAGGTCGACGCGCTGATTATATTCCGCTTTTCTTTTTCCGCAGCTGTGCGAGTGGTATTTGCTGACTCGGTGTAGCTTTGACGCACTGATTGGGTTGTATCCTTACTTTCTTGGTCTTGTGTAGATGTCGTGCTTGTCGTTATTGACAGGGGAGAATGAACGAGGACAGAAGGACAGAGACATGAGCAATTTATATGCCTGCCTGAAGGGCATGAATCACGCTGAGTCCATGGAATTCAGTGAAATTGAGACATTGAGAACTTGTGGTCATTCAATAAGGCGTGGGTCAGGGAGAGGGGTAATACCCTTCCATTTCCTTGATACTCAAAACTCTGTTGAAGTCACGGTAAACGCTGGAGTGAATTCCAACTACCATAATGTGTACGCGGGCGGCCCTCAAGAAGGGGCACTACCATGCTATGGCCCGTCAATAGATAGTGACTGGCAATACCTGTCGCAACATAAAGCTTAGTGTGGAAGACGGAGGTCGTAAGACGGTTGATTTCGTAACAGGATCTTAGTGGACATAAAAAAGTTTATGCCAGATTTCACGCGACAACATCAAAGTCCAATGCCATATATGGCTACTTTGGCACCAGCTTAGCCGACAGACTATATTCTGTGATGGTTTCTAAATGTATATGCTTTTGGTGTAAGAAGTGAGCGTCTACATTCCAGAGGAACCGGAGCATAATAATTATTCGCGCGACAGCAAAGACACATCCTATTCTCAGATGACTCTGTTACAGAGCGTCCGAAATTGAGTAGGTCCACCGGCGCAACCACATGGGCTAATAACATGTTCCCAGCGATATGACATACATAGACATGAGAGAGTACACCAAGTACTGTTTATTGATAAAATTTCGCCAAATTCAGTCAATTTAGGTGCTGAAACTTGGTTCAATTCTACTATCAGGCCTGGTATAAGAGAGTGAAATGAGCTCACCCTTCCATTCGTAGAGCAAGTCTTTTTCTCAAATGAGCAGCCTTCTATCCGACCTAAGCCCTCAGAAGAACACTCTGAAAAAGCATGCGTCGCCATGTGCTGCAATCCCATATCAATCATAGCTGCATTGTCTGGAGGTTTCACAACATCTGAGTGGGTGACAGATCGAAACACTGTTGCCTACGCAGTCACAGCAGTGATGTATCGATCTGCACTCTGGTAGTATAATCATCTAGAATTCTTGCGAAGTCTATCTGTTCTGCCAAGGGCTCGCGGGTAGGAAGACCCGCACATGCTACACTCTGGTCTGTTTCCAAACCGTCCTGGAATACCATGCACCAGCCTCCCTATTCCAAGAGCCAGTGACAGCCACGGGCCTGATCGACCCGCATCGTCATGCTCCAGGGGTCCGCCGGTTGCCTGCTGAGCTGCCAGGGGGTCTGTGGAGAGCCCAGGCAGAGCCTCAGGTGCTGACGACACCCCTACCGTTTCCTAACCTCACCGCTGAGAAAGATCGTTTTTCGCCGATTCGATTTCCACCTCTTAAGTCCTTCCCATCAGCTAGCGGGGCGGTAAACGGTGCCCGTAGGGATTGATGTCTTGCTGCGTTGGCTGATGACGTTCGTCGTCAGGCCAACTGAGCCAGGGTCCAGTAACACACAGACCAAGGCCCCATCGTATCCCCCGGATTCCAGCTGTCTCCACTTAGTGCTCGGCCTTCTGTGCGTTAGGGAGCTCCTTCAAAGCCTCGCCAATTATGTCAATAGCCTTGCGCAGCTCCGCTTCGCTAATTACAAGCGGAGGAGCGAACCGAATAATGTTGCCATGTGTCGGTTTGGCCTGCGTCGTGTTAGTATTTGGTTGCTTTTGCTGTTTTGCTTTGTACGTTGCAGTGATCCATGCCGGATTGGCGGTGAGGGAAACAGCTGACAGCAACATGGACCACCAGTGGACATTGGGAAATGACTTACAAGAAGACCCTTAGATTTCAGGAGAATGCAGAGATCCCAGCTGTCCACAGTTAGTCATCTCCTGACAAAGATGGGAAGATTGGAGAAATAGCATTGCCTGTCTTGGCGCCCTGAGGCCCCGAAACTTCGGCTGTCACTCATTTCATCCGAACCTTCAAGATAATTTGACTTACGCAGAGCGGCCATTGGTCGCGGACTCGTCGATGACAACGGCGTTGAGCAGACCCTTGCCTCGCACCTTAGTGACAAGAGGTGACTTGAAGGAGGCCACACCCTCGCGGAACAGGTTGCCCAGCTTCTCGGCCTTTCCGACCATGTCCTCCTCTTCGATGAGCTCCAGGGCACGCACCGAGACGGCGCAACCCAGCGGGTTTCCACCGTAGGTGGAGCCGTGGGTACCTGGCTCGACCACGAGCATAACCTCCTTGTCTCCAAGGACGCAGGACACTGGGTACATGCCGCCGGAGATGGCTTTGCCAAGCGTGACCAGATCGGGCTTGATACCGGCCCACTCGTGGCAGAGCATCTTGCCGGTGCGACCGATACCCGTCTGGATCTCATCGCAGATGAAGAGGACATTGTGCTTCTTGCACAGGGCAGAAACCTTGCTGAGGTAATCGTCGTCAGGCACCACGACACCAGCCTCGCCCTGGATGGGCTCGACGATGAACGCTGCGGTCTCCTTGCCGTGGCGCTCAAGGACGGCTTCCAGGTCCGCCACGTTGTTGAAGCGGATGGGGTTGCCGGTGGTAGGACAGAAAGCTCCAATATTGGGCACGAAGGGGCCGTAGTTGTCCCGCGACTCTGGGTCAACAGACAGCGAAATTGCCGTCATCTAGAGTTGGTGTGATTAGATCCCAATGCCTCCGATTTTTAAATGTAAAGACTGTAGCCACGCTGCTCAGCCGCAAGCAGCACTCACCGTCCTTCCGTGAAAGTTCTCAGTGGCGGAAAACACCAGCGCCTTGTTCTCGGGCACTCCCTTGACCTTGTATGACCACTTCCTCGCGATCTTGATTGCCGTCTCTACAGCTTCGGCACCGGTGTTCATGGGCAGGACCATGTCGTAGCCGAAAACCGAGCGCACCTTCTCGGCCCAGATGGGGAAGACATCGTTGTGAAAGGCGCGAGAGCTCAGGGTGAGGCGGCCAGCCTGCTCGGTCAGGGCCTTGATCAGCTCTGGGTGGCAGTGACCCTGGTTGACGGCGCTGTAGGCGGAGAGGAAGTCGAGGTAGTGCTTGCCCTCGGGGTCCCAGACGTTGACGCCCTGGGCCTTCGCAAAGACGACGGGCAGAGGGTGGTAGTTGTGCGCCGCGAACTGGTTCTCGGCAGCAATGGCGGACTTGGTGGAGGTAGCATGGTAGCCCGAAGCGCCATTGCTCGTGCCATTGGTGGCAGAGACGTCCTTGTCTGCGTGGGGCGCCATGGTGACCTGAAGTTGAGGCACGACGGCACGACGAAGAGGCTCGGATCGGATGTAGGTGCGACTGGGCGGTATGCAGCGTGAGTAAGACTGTTCCGGTCTCGGGGAGTATCGTGGTCTCTCGGGGAAGAGACCTTGGCGTGATGCGGCTGTGGTGATGGTTCTGGTATTATACCTAGGTAATGTGAGAAGGGAAGAACAAAGCAGACAGGGTCGATCAAGAAGGGGCCCGAGGGGGCGGCAGGACTAAAATAGTCGTAAGACTGGTGAGGCCAGGTTTCCAGCAAGCGCAGCAAGCCTGGCAGCCCCGTCCCAGTCTGTTGACTGTGCCGCGACAGGATTGTTGAAGAGTGGCACACTAGACCCCTAAGTGCAAGTATAACCGCGACGTTGGTTTTGGTATTACACACGACCTGTCATTCTGCGGTCACAAGATAGGCAATGCACTGCGGAGGAGCCGAGACAAGCCGCCGCTATGAATAATGAGATGCGCTTGCATTTGCTGGCGAATGATTCAAGTACGGTCAGAGGTCGGACTCCCTCAATTGATCAATTGACCTCCATGAGGGTTTAGAGATGCCCCTGATCCTGCCAATTGATACCATTTTTTCCTGGCCAGCCCATAGTATAACAGTAGTACAGACAAATGATGCAGTAGTCTACCCAAGCAGATACAACCTGGATCTAGACGGTGCCGGTCTACTGGCCCCGATAGCGGGATGGAGGGGTGACAATCTCCCCCACGCTTGGCCTGCGGCTCCGGCTGCAGGGGCATGTGCAAGTGCAAAGTGCGCTATGCCGCTGCCAATCAACGCCTACCAATTTGACAACAGTTCCACCCCCCCCTTCTACCCTCTTTCAACCCTTGAAGTCAGGGTTAAGAAAGGGGCTGCACGTCTGCAACAACATTCGGCTGCTTTGGCCTGCCGTAGGTAGGTATGGTACGAGACAGATAGGTGTACAGAGGCACCCATGATCTACCACGCCCCTCAATAATGTCCACTCATGAAGCACGCCCGCTTCATTCTCAACATGGGCTGTCCATATCACCACTCCAAGTCGTGACAGGCCTGTTCCTGCTGCGCACGTTGAACGCATTGTGTACGGGGCGCACTTTCTTCCAGCCAGATGAATACTTCCAGGCCCTCGAGCCAGCATGGAACCTCGCCTTTGGGGCCCATAGCGGTGCCTGGTTGACTTGGGTGCGTCCTTTACAAGTCTCGCACATGGCCTTAGTTGGAAGTCCTGGCTGACCATAATTCTAGGAATGGCAATACCATCTGCGGTCCTCACTTCACCCGGCCTTGTTTGCCGTTGCATACGCTGCCGCAGACAAGGTCATGGCTATCCTGCTATTCATGCCTGCACTAAAAGCTTCCGTTCTGGTTTTACTGCCCAAGCTGGTTCAGGCATGTCTCGCTATGCTGGCAGACTTTTACACCTGGCAGCTCGCCGAGAAGGTCTATGGCCAGGGCAGCAGGTCCGCGTGGTCCGCCTTGTGCGTGACTGTGCTCAATCCCTGGCAGTGGTATTGCTCCGCGAGGACTTTCTCAAATTCCCTCGAGATGACACTCACCATAGCGGCCTTGAACTACTGGCCGTGGGAATTGCTGGGTGATGCTTCAGAGACTCATGGTGGTTCTCCAGCGAGACGTGAGCGCCTCGCCAGCCTCCGAGTATCTCTCTTTCTTGCTGCCATTGCTGTTCTCTTAAGGCCCACCAACGTCTTCATCTGGGGGACTGTAGTCATGGTAGCGTTTACCCGCTTGACGCTCCGTGGGAAAAGCCCTATCACCTTGAGGGTAGCCCTGGTACTCCTCAGGGAGGCTGTCCTGTGTGGGAGTGCCGGCTTGGCCCTATCAGCTGTCTCTGACCGTCTCTACTTTGGCGAATGGACATTTCCACCATACCACTGGCTTCACTTCAACCTGACGCAAGACCTTGCTGTCTTCTATGGAGAAATGGCATGGCATTATTATCTATCCCAGGGCATTACACAGCTCACTATGACGTTTCTGCCGTTTGCGCTTGAGGGCTTGTTCAGGTTCGCGGCCTCGTCCACTCCAGGTGCCACGGCAACGCAATCAAATACACTTAGAACGCTGGCCTACACGGTCATTACCACCATCGTGGTGCTGTCTGTGGTCTCACACAAGGAAGTCCGCTTCATCTATCCCCTTCTTCCAACTCTACATATTCTCGCAGCCCCGTGCTTCGCCTCTTTTTTCTCAGCCGCCCCAGGCCACCAGCCTTCCCAGAGCAGGACCGCGCTACTTACCGGTCTCATTTCCATCAACTTCGTCATAGCAACCTACCTCTCCTTGTTCCACGTTGCGGCGCCCATATCCGTCATGCACTTCCTTCGACATGAATTCGAACGACTTCATCCCGACCGTCTCGGGTTTCACGCAGAGCAACCCGTCCTCATCCACTATCACGGCCTCACGCAGTCGCCACACCCAGCTCTCGGTAACGAAACCGACGAGCTCTTCGCCCTCTTCCTGACACCGTGCCACGCCACTCCATGGCGCTCACACCTTGTCTACCCAACTCTTCGCGCGCGGGCATTGACTTGTGAGCCTCCTCTGCATACAGCGCCTCGGAGTGCAGAGCGAGAAGCCTACATGGATGAGACGAAGAGGTTCTTCCGCGGCTTCGGATCCAGCAATCAGTGGGGCGTCGACTTTCTGGCGGAGGAGATGTGGCCACTGGCGCGTGGCGAGGACCAACTCGGTGTTGCAAGTCGAGGGGGCGAGGTGCCGCGATACATTGTTGGATTCGAGAGCATAGAAGGGGCCCTGACGGGCTTCCTTGCTACTGCAGACATGGGAGTGAAGCTGAGGCGGGTTTGGCGAGGGTGGAACGGATTGTTTAGTGATGACGAGAGAAAAGAAGGTTATCTGGTTGTTTGGGACACAGGAGTGTACCCAGATGAGGCCAGTCCCTCTGCCAAGTGATTTCGAATAATCCACAATATGTTACAGACTCAAAGATCTCCCAGTAATGCTTCTCGCAAGGTGCTAGCCAAAAGGTCAATCAATATTTATGGGCTGATATTTAATTTGTGTGGAGCTAGCCTATTTTATATCGGTTCCATCCCACCGCCGATTTGCTTCAAATGGTATATGTCTCGTATATAAAGAGAACAAAATAGTGGTGAGTTGATACTGTAGGCCCCCAGCCCCAATATGGCCCTTCGCACGGCCGCGAGCTCAGAGCATGTATCTGAATTCAGGATTCAAATCGCCTAGCTCCGTCTTCTCATAGTCAGTCAGGTTCGCCCGCACCGTCCTATCCCTCTTGCGGTTCTCCCACGTGATGAGGGCGGCATAGACGCAACAGCTCACGGCGCTCAGGCAGATGAAGCCGATGCAGATGCTGTAGCCCGGCTTGTAGAACGGCGCGTCCTTGGCCAGGAACGAATACGTGGAGATGATGCCGCCGATGTTCCCGAAGCCGATCTGCCACGCCGACCCGATGGCCCGCCGGTGGTGCCCGCCAAGGTTCATATTGAACCAGCACACGATTACAGGCATTGCTGAGTAGGTTCCCATTACAACTAAGAATAAAGCGCCGTACTTAACGCTGACGCGGTCGTGCACAGTCAGCAGGATGGCGAAGCCGCTGATGGCGATGCAGATGGGCACGATGGTGAAGAGGAAGCGGTGGCGGGCGAAGTCGGACATGAAGGCGACGAGCATGCTGAAGCCGAAGGCGACGGCCCAGGGCGGCACGCTGTGCAGCTGGGTCTCGATTGGCGAGTAGCCATAGGCCTGGATGATGGATGGCGCGAAGTAAGCGTAGCCATAGGCCGGCACGATGAGCCCGAAGTACATGAAGCCGCCCACGATGACCTTTGGGTCCCGCAGCACGGTGAGCACGTCGCTGAGGGTGACCTTGCGCTCGGCCGCGTTGTGGCCCAGGTCGGCCTGCAGCCGCGCCCGGACGTAGTCGCGTTCGGGCTCGCTGAGCCACTTGGCCTGCTCCGGGAAGGCCGGGAAGGTGAAGAGGAAGACCAGGCATACGAGCACCGTGATGGCGCCCTCGATGATGAAGATCCAGCGCCAGCCGTGGTAGCCTCTAAGTCCATCCACTAGGAAAGGCACGCCGGTCAGTCGGTCAAGGTATACAGAGATTTGCAACACGTTCCCCCACCAATGACGGATCATGCAAGCTGGGTTAACTTACTCTTGCCAATCGCGGAGGCCAACAGACCTCCGAAAGCACCCGCGAGACTGGTCGAGGCGAAGAAGAAGGTGAAGCGCTTCTGTGCTTCGCTCCTTTTGTACCACATCCCTAGGAGATAAAAACAACCACTAGATAAGACGTGAGATAGAAGCCTAGCGAAAATCAGGGAATATAGAGTATACTTACGGGAACATTCCACATTCAAAAACTCCTAGGAAGAATCGTGTAGCGAGGATTCCGGAATAGTTCTGCGTCAGCCCCTGGAAGACAGTCACCAGCCCAAACGCAATACCACAGAACGAAAGCCAGATTCTGGGCGACAGCTTCTTGAGGAGGATGTTGGAGGGGATCTCGAAGAAGACGTAGGGGACGAAGAAGATGACCAGGATGGTGTTGTACTCGGTGCCCCCGAGCCGCAGGTCCTCGGCCAGGTGAAAGGACTTGGCGTTGGCGATGTTGACGCGGTCCAGGAAGGCGAGCAGGTACAGGATGCTGATGAATGGCAGGAGGTGCAGGTCGATGCGGGTCATGAGCTTCCTCTCGGTCGTGTGCGGTGGGCACGCGACGCCGAGCTCGTCGTAGTCGTCCGAGTAGCCGGCCTCTCTTTCCTGGGGGTAGAGCCCGGTGGGGGATCCGCCCTCCTTGACTCCGACTCCATCGCGGCGGACATCAATGCCGGTGTCCTCGGCCGAGGTTGGGGCTGCGAGGAAGAATTAGCTATGGTTTATGCGGTGTTGTTTAAATTGGTGTCTATATGATGGGTGCTTCAACCACGACGTGGGCAAATCCGTCCATCCTTCAGAGTACTATGTGCGAATCGACAAACGTTTATTACGTGCTGCAAGGTACAGTCGTCGTCTGCTGGGCCTCGCAGTCCTTACGTTGATGACCATATTAAGAGAGAAGAGGAGTTTGACACTTACAAGACTTCTTGGTGAACATGGTCACGGAGCTTGGCTTCAGGTCTGGCGTCGAGGTCAAGCACGCAGACGAAGCTCAGGACTCCCACGGATGGAGTGGGAGAGATGGTGAAGAGACGTCTGACAAATCCGACACGGGATGACAGAAACAAATAAGTAGTCTATAGGAGTACATGTATGTAGGTTCCCTTAAATCCGTCCAGCCGTTTCCCTGGAATCCAAACGAGCTGGATCTCACTTCACTCCCCGGTCCACACACACCGTCCTCGGAGTCACTCGCCCAGCCCGCGACTTACAATTACCCCAGCGCCAAACCAAATCGAGTCTGGCCTCCTCCACATCAACGATGTCACTCTAGTATAATATCGGAAAAATTTCAAGAGGTGTTTTTGCTCTATTGAATCTTCAATATCTTGATATGGAACCGCAGTCGCTGCTGACTGTTGCGTTCTGGATATTACTCACAACCAGGCCGAGTCTTGCTCACGAGAATCATAGGCTGTTCCGCTGGCAACGATCCAGCGGCCACGTAATGGCCCTGGCCCTGGTATTCCCTCGCCCACAAAATATCCGCCCGTCCGACCAAGACGGGCGGGTGCAGCTCCATCTCGTGGGATGTCTCCGCCTCGTGTGCCGTACCACCACGAGGGGGGCGGGCGAGGGAGCGCCGCTAGAACATGGGAATCCGTAGCACGGATTTCAAAGTGAGACAGGCGCCTCTGCCTCTTTAGCTCTGCATGCACTTTGGGCAGATTACCTCGGGCCGCTCGCTCGTGTTGCTGATCGCGGGGGGCCCGGTACTTTGCCCTAGGCACGACGGGTCTAAAATCTGACTATCTCGCAGGACGATCGTCGCGGGGTTTGGTTCATCTCGCTCGCCTCGTGCTGAGTGATATCAGCGTTGCGTTCAGTGGCGGCCCCGAGATGATTCCATGTCGGTGTGAGCCCCCTTCCCACCCATGATGCCAAAAGTGAGGGTTGTTTTTCCTGGATGGGCATCCTTTACACTCGTGACTGCGGTGGGTCGGCGAGGGTATTTCATGCCACATTTGTGAGAAGGTCGAAAAAAAGACAAAGAGCCCGCCGAGTTCGCTCTCAAGCCCGCCAGGGACCTGGGGAAGTCCCCATAGATTCAAGCTTAAACAGCTCTAGCCTCTGTGGGGGAAGGAGCGCGCTACTGCAGCTGGACCCCAGACTCCGACCTTCCAGGAGCTGCCTGTTGCCGAGACGAACCCGGCACGGACTGTAGGTGCCACAAAGCATCAACTGTGCCTGGGCATCAATCATGTCGCATTAGATATCGTGGCAGGGCTGGTTGAGACAGTATGTAAATCTCTCCCTTCTGGGAATCGGCAACGGGAGATCATCACATCTCTCAAACGGCTGGTATTGTAGCCGAGCGCATAGAGCAAAGCACGACTTCCCCATGGTAGAGGATCACAGCAATTAAATCCCCTACTGAAGCTCCTACAGTCACTGAAGGGGGCCTCAACAATTGTGTACCAAACAGACAAGAAGCCAAATTAAATACAAGAAGCTTCGGCCGTCGTACCGCACCGGAACCGCTGCGGCGAAAAAGAGGGGGGGGGAGGATGGTTCCTGAAACCTTCTTTTTCTTCCAGGGTCCCAGGAACCTGTGTAACGCCGGCGAGATTGAGCCCTCATGTCCAGTCCCGACCACTCGGCTGTTGGTAGCCAAGAATTTGTGTCGCGCCCGATCTTCTGCCCTACCCTGCCACTCTCTGGCCGCCCTGCGGGACTCACTAATATCTGCCTCCGTACCCCCACTTCCTTACCAGCACTTGCGATGGGAATCCAAGCCCGCGTCACGCTCTTGGGATAGTCACGGCTGGGCGGTCGGCACGAGGTCACAGGGTCATCATGTTCACGACAAGATCCACTGGGCAACACGGTCATGGACCGGTATCACACTCCATGGTTATTTGTTCCCTAAGAGTCGTCCTTCTCATTCCCAAACTGCGTATAGGCAGGTAACTAGACCAGGGTATCCTCAAGCAGCACCAGGAGAAACAGGTAACATCAACATCTGCCGTCGCCAGTAGCGGCCTACGCTTTCTCTCGAGCCTCCCTGACGGGGAGGCACTGTAAAAGCTTGGACCAGAGGATTTGAACAAAGTTGATCTCTCTCTCTTCCCATACGTCCAGTCCGTCCTCCATAAAGAAACTAGCCGCCTTTTTCCGTGCTTCTTGCTGTGGTCTTTGCTCTTTCAAAATGGCTGTCTTGATCTCTCGCATATTTCTCTGCCTTGGTCTGGCCATTCCCAAGTCGACCGCGATAAAGTGAAGATTGAAAACATTAATAAAAATGGGGCCGATGATTGTAATTCCGGGTGTAGTTGGGAACTAAAGGGGGGCATTAAAATCGTACATCGTAGTTGTACACCCACAGCTGACGCTCAGATACTGTCCATAGCAAGACGCGTGTGTGTCAAGGAGTCAGCATCTCAGTGCTGAGATGAGTTGGGCTCATGCGCTCTCTGAGAGGCATCCTTCTCTGCCTCGGCTGACCGCTTGATGTCAAGACTCTTCCCGCGCACGGGAAGCGAGCTGATAGATCCGCGATCACCGGGCGGAGACTTGGTCCGTCCAGCGTTCTCCTTGGCCTCTCGCATCTTGTTCTTGATCCACCCCGAAATCCCCCTCGACTCTTCTCTGTTCTCCCTCGCGTCTCTGCTGCCTGAGTCAAGGCTTGAGTGAGCCTCCAAAGTCGGCTCAGAGGATTCGCCTGTGAAACTGTGCCGGGGCTTGTTTACGTCCGTACCAACCGAGCTGTTGCTCATCTCGGCGGTCCTGTTGAAACCGATCTTCCTAGGTGAGGTAACGCCTGGCTCAGGAGTGTCGGCCAGGTCCTCCTTCTTGCGGGATAGTCGCCACCGTCGCTTCTTGTCCTTGTCTTGCAGCTCGCCGTGCTCAACTTGCTCGATGGATGGTATTGGCTCTTCCACGCGATCTATCTCCGAGCCCTCGTTGAATGAGCTGTGTAGTGACGTTGGTGGCGATTGATGGGTTCTCAGTCCGTGGTCTGCATTTTCGGTGGGCAGATGGCCGCTTGATGGCATCTGCGAGGCTCGCGGAGTCGGCTCGGAAGGCGTATCTATGGCTTCCGGCCTTGACAAGTCCTGCGCTGCCTCTTCGGCCTCTTGTTGCGGGTACTCCTTCGTTTTCTCGATCGGATTGAATGTTTCGACAGTCGGTGACACAGCACTGGAGTGAGCGAGGGAGGCGACAGAGCTTGCCGCACTGGGATTTGTGCTAGGGATGCGTTTTTTCCGCAGTTTGTTGGGCTGCTTCTTTTCGCTGTTTTCCGTTGGTGAGCGCTGGAACAAGCTGCTCAGGTTCCGCTCTTTGGTTGGAGTCACGGCCTCGGGAGCTGGTTTTGGCTCCAACAGCCGCTCCTGGCTTCGTTCTGCCGCATACCCAGGCGTCAAACCGCCTTTCCTGCTGACAAGTGGATCGGCATGCTCGTTAGCTTCAGGTGTTGCGACTTCTTGGACCGTTGGAGGAGCGGGTATGTTCGCGGATGATGCCACTACGGGTGTCAGAGGGGACACAGGCGCTCCAGCAGTCTCGTTTCTCATGTGCGCAAACCTCCCAGACTGTATGGCCGGCGATCTCTTGGACGGGACCGTGTTGCTTCTGCCGAGACCGCTTGTTGGTGTTGACGCCAGGGCAGGACTGCCAGGGCTTGGGGCACCATTGGAGGCGCGCGAATGTCTCGAACTCGTAGACTTGTTGCGTCGAATCGCACCGTCTCGAGATATACTTTCCGCGGCTGCGCTGGCATTTGACGCAGATCTGTGGACACCTGACTTGCGAGATGAGCTGGGCGTCGCAGGTGCGTTGATGACCGGGGTGCCCTTCTGGACCTCCTGGACCGTCTTCTCATCTGCAGCAGTGCCTTGCATGCCGATCAGAAAATGATCTTGATTCTCGATTAGGAATATGAGGACACATTGGTTGAGCCGATACTCCTCCGGGGCCATGGCATGTCTGGGATGGGACAGCATGCCAGGTTGGAAGATGGCTGCCAAGTTCTGCGAATTCATGCGGTTTTCATCTGCCTTGGCTGCGAAAACCGCCAGGAGGTCGAGGATGTAAAGCAAGAGCTGTCGGTTCAGTGGAGGGAGCTGTGTGATGAGCTGCTGGTACTTGATGATGGCGGCCTCGACGTCGAAGTCGTCGATGAACTGGGGCCCGTCGGCATCACCAACAGCCGACTTGGTCGCGCCTTTCAGCGGGCCCCGGAAGTTCTCGTAGAGCTCAAGCGGCACGACAGGCTCTGGAAGATCGTTGAGGTATCGCCGAAGCACATTTGCTGCATCGTGAACCGTGTAGCCATCCCAACTCAGGCCCTTACCGTAGCGGTCTGGGGAGTCAAAGACCTGCTTGAGCTCCTTGATGCGCTTCTCAGACCCATTCAGCCGGAAAATACCCTCGATATTTGTTGCTATATTTCTGCATCAGCACCGTGCCCCTGGGTATGGAGGTCAGCTTCATGTACCTACCCTTCTCTTTTAAGAAAACCCCACACTTCGCAACCACGATGGGAACATATCCGTAGATGTAGCTTTTACCGTTGTCGTCGACAAGCGATATGGCGACGTTGGCGTAGACGATGCTCTGTCGCAGCGGCACACCGAAAATGCCGGGTGCTTTCGTGGTTTCTGCAGAAGTCAGTTGGGCCATTTGTGGAGGAGCAAAGGTGCAAAGACAAAGAGAGGGGCGAGCCTGTGGGCTCGCGTCCAAGCAGATGCTGAGGGAGCGGCGGCGTCGCGTCCTGCGCCTCTGCGAGACTCGGCCCAGCCAGCCAGGGCTGGAGGTGAAGCTGGGAGCCGGTCTGGGCGGAGGTGCGACAGGCTCGCTTGAGTGAGTGTACTGCTGCGAGACATGTTCCAGGGACGACAGGTAGCCAGAGTTGTTATTGTGCCACGCCGCCGCAAAAGAAACGCATTGTTCTGGAAGAGCAGCGCAAGGAGTGGAGGGATCTTCACCATGTGACTCCTCATGCTTGGAGAGCTTGAAATTTTTCCACCACGACTTCAAATCCCGTTTGCTTGGAGGCGACGCGTGAGAAGCAGTCGGGGTGGGGGGCTGGGCCGTGGCTCCTCCTCCGTGGTTCGCAGCAGCTGCAGTGGTCGGAGGGTGAATATTGGGGGGGTTTGGAGGGTTTGCTGCGGACGTCATCGTGAAGGTGACGGCGCGCAAGGACGACCGTGCTGACAGCGCTGTACTGTAGATCAGCACAGGGACACAGGCAAGCCCGTCGCAGCGTCGGAGACCGGGATTGATTCAGAGGTGGTTTTGTCTTTCTCTCGATGTGGTGTGCTGCCGTGGCGAGAGCTTTGGAACTGGCAGCGGCAGCGGGGTGCAAGCAGCAGGCTGGGCTGGGCTGAAAGGAGTGGATTGTGGTCGCGAAAGATGAGCGACCGAGTGCAGGTCGTGTTGTGGAGGGAAATGGGCGAAATGACGGCTAGTTAGATAGTTCTAAGGTTTGGATTGGGGGAGACGGAGACCACTGGGCTGGGCTGGACTGGGCTGCGCTGCTGCTGCTGTGCTGTGCTGCGCTTCTTGAGGGACCCAGACGAGCAGACTGCCAGAGCAGTGATGTGTGACGTCCACCTGGGTGCTGGGCCTGGGGTACTTGGATACCCCTGTGTTTTTCTGGGCCGCCCTCTGCCAGGTGGGCTAGGCGCAGACCAGACCAGACCAGAGGTGGGCTCCGGATGACCAGCCTCGAGGTACCTGGGCACGTTTTGCACGTACTGTACAGGGTGCAGGCAGTAGCCCCCCCTACCCAAGCCGGTACCTACCGGGAGAGATACATACCTAGGAAGGTAAAGTACCTAGGTAGATAGGCATGCTTGCAATCACAGTCTGCTTCTAGCCATTTCCAAGGTGGGATGGGTTGGATGGGAGGGCTTTGATAGTCCGGCAGCTTTGCAAAAGCTCAACAATGGAATATGAATATGTACCTGCCTGCAGTCGACTCAAGTCAAAAGACCAGCTGATGACTACATTGCACGGCACTGCTCTGCACAGCCATCCACACGTACGTACATACAGTACACATACATACAGTACAACTTTCAGGTTGGGCACTTCCTCTCTGTCTGGACTCTGGCCCGGCCAAGGATTGCCCTGAGAGGTCTGTTCCTTGCTTTCTCTTTTATTAGAATGCCCCCGGCTAAGCCTCTTTGGTCCCTGCCACAGAGCGCAGGGACCCCGAAGTTACCACACAGCTTCACCACCTTGATCCTTTCGTGACTCTCTGTGAGATGGTCACCTCTCTCTCGTCTGCCTGACCTGACCAGGTGAGGGACAGCCGTCTCTAGGACGAGTTTCTCAGCATCTAGACAGAGAGGCTGTCAGCCTCTTCTACAGGATATGCCTCAACGACCGCTGGGAAGCCTTTTCCTTGTGAAGTCCGAGAGCCTGCAGTGGCTGCCAGGCAAGAGAAGAGCAAAGCAGCAAGGTGATAGACATCTGTAGCGGAACCGGACTCGATACTACTCGAGTTCAAGCTTGAGCTCAAGGCCCGAGTTATTCCCTGACGAGGGTCTTTCGTGTCATTAATATCTTTTACTTAGATTTGGTCGTCAACATGTTGTGACACTGGCCGATCCCCAGGATCCATCTTCAGGGGATCGCTGCTTAAAATTTAGGTTAAATAGCCAGACCCGTCTGTGTGCAGGTCCATTGTCAGAACTCGATCACCTCGAGTAGCCACCACTAAACACTCCCAATTCCTCCCACCAGTTGGAGGGACTTTAACCAGTGATATGTTCTGCTTGACCGGTATACCCTTTATGGAACAGCCTCCTGTAGGACTGTGAGATGACCTCTTATACATCGTAGCATAATCTGTGATATGTCCTAGGACACACTACTGTACCTCCCGTACCTAGGCAGTGTTGGTGCCCTCCACACTTATGTCTGATAGCGCCCTTTAACGGAAGAATCTTCCTCATTCCGTTGCCAAGCGACCGCCGACGCGTCCCTCAGAGGCCCAAGGTAGCTAGCTACATTAAACGGTGATTTGCGAGATGAGATGAAAACCTCCCATAAACACACCAGCAGTATGGCAGATCGACAGGTTTTATTTCCACTTCTCTCTTAGTCCTAGATCTTTGGAAGAGTCCAGAGCGTTCGCATCCCTGGGACGTTTTGATGCAATGGTACTCGAGCAGGGTGCAAGGCCGAGCCTCGTGCGCTTTAGAGCCAGTCTTTTGCAGGACGACATGACGACAGCAGCCGAAGCCGTCGAAGTGCATTGTTGCTGAAGGTTGAGCATTTGTTCCGTGGCCCAGCCCTGGCTAACAGCCCTGGCTGACAGCCCTAGCTTGAATCATACGATAGTGAGCATTTCCATGTTCTCGCTGCAGCATGCTGGCTACGATCGTCGCTGCTTTTGCAGCATTGTTCCAGATCACTTTATCTACTAGTGGGCAGTTGGGAAATTGAGGCATCTTGGTAGGTGACGATGACTTGCCGCGATGCCGCGCCACAGAGGCCACGGCCCGGGAACTATCCAAGCTTCGCTACCCAGGTGCCAGGGTGCTATGCAATCCTGACAGTGGGGATTCTGTCCGAAGGGTTCGTTCGTTCATTATTGATTGACATATGGGTATGTATTGAACAGCCCAAAGGAGAGTCGAGACCGCCAATGACGCAAAATGCTGCATCCGGTAAAGACGAGTCTTGTCAAAGCCAAAGTGGCAGCCTCAAACCAACCAGCCATCAGCGGCACCCCCTCTCCTGAGGATTCCTCCGTTTGGATTTCGTGTCGTCTCGCAAAACCCTGGGTAAACAGGCTACCGCTCTGGCGGCCCAAGCCAAAGGACTGGCTACCCAGTAGGTGTTATGCAGCCCAGAGCGTTTCGCTGGGAGATGAGTGGACGGTCCCGTGAGATCCTACGTGAACTCTCATGCCCCTCGCCGTCCTACCTGCCGGCACGTCGCTTAGAGGTCCGGCCGTGAAGGCTTGCACGCAGGTGACTGGGTGCAAGCCGGCCACTGGCCGGCCATTGCTTGGTTGTCCCAGATCTCCGGTTGCCAATGCGTGCCTCCCGCATGCTCCATTTTTAGCAGCTGCGAGGTCACCTCCACGGCCTCCAATCGGCTGAGGTGACGGCCAGAGAGGGCCCAAAGCAAGTTTTCCCTCACCCAAGAAACGCAGCCTCGTCATTGTCACCCACCCAGCCATCCCCCATCGTGGGAGCATTGGACGAGACGTTGACGTACCACGAGGGTATGGCAAACAGGCTGCGATGCTGTCGCTCCTTCAGGCTTTGCCATGTGCGCCAGAGTGGATCAGGCGTGCGGGATCGTGGGGCTGCCCGTGCCCGGCCCTTCCCCCCGTCGCCGTTGATCTCGTGTGCGTGGATCTTCCCCAGCTGTACCGAGTACTGCGGTACATACTGTTGTAGTTGCCCCGCGCACCTGCTCCTTCGATTTCCTGGCAGTCGGCGAATGCATGCCCAGCTCCATCACCACCGGCTTGACTGGACGATCATTGCCAGTCCATGCTGGCTTGCCAAATACCTAAGGGATGCCCCGGTCTTCGCCTGTCTTTTGGCGTGTGTCACGACCATGCATGCCTTGGTCATTGTCGGGGCCGATCTGCCCATCGCCGGTGGGTTGCAATGTTTCGACTCCACGAACCCGACGTTTCTGGCCTTCTGGTGACATGGGGATCCGGGTCGCTTGTCAAGCTCGCAGGATGGGGCGGGTTCGTTGGAAGGCTGGAACAGGATTGACGACGAGGGGGCGTCCCAGATGATACTTGCGCTGGCCAAACGTGAGGATCCGAGACGGGGTCGATGGCACGCAGCGTGATGATCGACTTTCGTATCTGCAGTTGTTCAGAGACAAACCGGACTCTCCCACTTGCCTTCGAGGCCTTGTCCAGGAAACATGACGCCGGAGCTAAACCATCGGCTACACCCACGGCGTAGCACTGCAGGAATGCTGGTTCACGGCTGTCAACAGTACGCAGTCCTTTGACGCAGTTTCACAGCTTATACACAGGCAGCCATAACGTCGGCGGGCCACAGATGCCGTGTGAGATCAACCGCCGCACCACCCAGCTTGCATTAATTACACTGCAGGTCAACGTTGGCTATGCAAAATGCGGCCACCGAGCGGGCCCCGGGGCACACTGATGAATCTCGGGTAAGGTAGAGATGTGGATGTGCACCATCAAACATCAACCCCCGTCCTCATCCAGGGAACTTTGCAAATCCAAGATCAGCGGAGCAGATCGGACACCGAACACGACCTATCGAACCCAACGAGTTGCTCAAGTAATGCAGACAGCAGCGCTCGCACACATGGAAGTTACTTGTATTGCCGCTCGTGTGATCGTTCACCAAACTGACCTGAATTACGTTGTATTGTACCCAATATCTCTGTCAACCCCATTTTCAGAGCCCTCGAACGCACAGGGACTCATTAATGACGGCATATCAACAGAACGGCCATACATGGATCCGGAAGTCTGGTAACACTGTGCCGCAGGAGTTGTGCAACCATATGCCCAGGCTGAATGTCGCACTTGACTGACCGGATCGGGCACCCAGGCGTGTCAGAAGCCAATGAGGTTGAAAAGCAATCATTCTAAACGAGCTCTTCTTGAAGCGCAACAAATGGATTATCTCGTAGGTGACTCAGTATACTGAACAGATGAAGGTCATGTCATGAGTTGTCGGCCAACTGTCCTGTCAGGCCCAAAAGCAGGCCACCTTTCTCGTCAAGCGAGGGGCGGAGCAGCAGCACTACTGCTGCATACAGTCTCATAGCCACCCCAAGGTGTCAGCTTCGGCCCCAGCTCTCGACGTGATAATGGCTTATCGATGCTGCGGACCTGATGCTGCTCGCTTTCTTCGAGAGCGATGAGATCATGCTACTGGAGCTGTGACTGCCGCCCTTTGAAGGAAGAGGCAGCCTCATGTGGACCGCAGCAGGCGAAAAGTATATAGCCTTCGCGCGGAGCTCCTGGTGATGCTAATCATGCAGCGAGCATATCAGGTCAAACTTCGCGACTCTAGCCGCGAAGTAGCTCCCGAACGAACATCATCCACCATATAACCGAATTTCCAGGAGAATTGTGCCCATAGTACAAGCACGTCACCTCAGAAACAAACAATATGGTCAACACTTCTTCGTCATTGGCCCCTGCTCTGTCCTCCTTCGAAGCAAACTCTTCTGATTCCCACGATCAGTAAGTCGGCGACTGCGAAGAAAGCATGATCTGTGCTAATCGTTCACACAACAGAGGCCCTCCGCCGAAACGTGTCTGTCGCGAAGCCCCGAGAAAGCGCTATCCACCCATCGCGTGGCTAACACAGCGTTGGTTGGCCAAATCTGTCCCCTACGAGCGCATCGCGACGGCGAGCCCCAGATTGGGCGTAGGAGTAATCGGCCAGGGCCTCCTGAACCACCACATAAACCTTTCGCCCGGCATCACTGGCATAGCGGACTTCGCGCCTGTCCGTGACATCGCCGGACACCACCTCGGATACAGGGTCAAGATCGCGACTTGGCCGCTGTCGAAGCAGGATGCGCTGAAGGCCAAGGAGCTCGCTGCGTAATTGGAAGACGAAGAATCTCGACGGCGTCGCGGGTGTTGCTAGGGGAGGAACATCGGTACTCGGCAGATTTGACTCGGGGATTCGCAGTTCGGTACTGATTTCGAGGGATGGAACTCGTGAGATGCTTTCAATCACACCGCAGGAAAATCAATATAGATGTGATCCTGTTTATCCGATCATGCTCTTGCCAGACTGTGCAAGCGTAAGCTCCAACCTCCGAGGGATTAGTACCGAGCACCTAATGCTAGCCGCTTGTGTGAGACAATCGGTGAATCATCTCGTAAGTGCCAAAGAGAAATCTGATCAAAGACAAACTATTGCCTTACAGCTTGTGTCACCCTGCCTCTTAAAGCAGTATGGTGGTCACTGTGTGGCAGGGCTACTGCTCGCAGGTTTTGCCAGAGCTTGAACGGATCATCCTGCGAAGCATAGGAGCTTGTCCCATGGCTGGTTATCCTGTAGCTGATTATTATGTAGCTGGCTAGCCTGTAATTGGAAGGGTGTGCTGGTGAGGTTACGCCGGGCGTTTGGGATCTTTGGGAGCTATAATCCACCAAAGGAAGCTGAGGAATGCCACAGAAGATGATCCTGTCTAAATCCTCGTGTCTTATTGTGTGGACGCCCGGCCGCCGTATAAGTCTTCAGTGGTTGCCAAGGCAGCATTTTTCGGTTCGCCCCTGGGCTAGGAAACTGTGTCTGCTGAGAAATCGATCCGGGTAGTTTTGCCTCCAGAGCTTAGTGAGTTAATCGCCTGCGACGGGTGAATCTGGAGGCAAAAGGTGCAAGAATGCGGTTTGCCATCCTATCAGAGTCAGCAAACTAGAAGGTTCCAATGGATTAGGGTCTATCGAGACTCAAGCTTGGGCCTCTGTGTGGGTCTTGGGCCCTCCGGCTGGCAATTGTCGTCATGAAGCTGCCTAGTGGGCAGGGGGCCGGGGCCTTTCCAACCTAGCTTTCGCCGCCATCACCTCCGACCTCAAGACAACACACCCTCATACATTTCCAAACCTCGGGAACCCAGCTCGACCCTCTGGATTCCTTCCATCTCCATCTACCCTCTCCCCAAAATCATCCTCCCAGATCAAGGAGACCTGCATCTTTGATCTCAGTAACCCATTCCTGCCTCCACCAACACTGTCGTTTGAGACTCTCAGCTCCCGACGACTACCGGCAAACAGCCAGCGCACCGTCCGAGCACTTAAAGAACCCCGACCTTCGTTTGCGTATCTGCATCTCCTTGCGAAGCAAACAGTCAACATGGCTCCCGAACCTACCCCAGATCACTCGGAGAAGAAGAGCCATTTGATGTAGGCATCAACGACCCCGCCATCCCCGCTTCGATGAATGCGAACTGACTGACTCTCGCAGGGACGCTTCTGGCGCCGAGCGCAAGGAAGAGGATGACACAGCGACCGCTATCCTCAAGAAGAAGAAGAAGCCCAACCAGCTGATGTATGTCTCGACATTGTGCTTCTATCTCAATAAAGCTCGTTCTGACAAAATACAGGGTCACTGATGCCGTCAACGATGATAACTCCATTATCGCCCTCTCAAACAACACCATGGACACTCTCCAGCTGTTCCGTGGTGACACCGTCCTCGTCCGAGGCAAGAAGAGAAAGGACACAGTGCTCGTTGTTCTTGGTGACGATGACCTTGACGATGGCAGCTGTCGTCTGAACCGTGTGGTGCGACACAACCTGCGTGTGAAGCACGGTGACATTATCACTATTCACGCATGCCCTGACATCAAATATGTAAGTCTATATCTAGCATAAGCACTCTAGCTGGTGTCTAACAATCCAAAAACAGGCCAAGCGAATCGCCGTTCTGCCGATCGCCGATACCGTAGAGGGGCTTACCGGCTCTCTGTTCGACGTTTTCCTCGCCCCATATTTCCGAGAGGCTTACCGGCCAGTCCGTCAAGGTGACCTTTTCATTGCCCGCGGAGGCATGAGACAGGTTGAGTTCAAGGTTGTCGAGGTTGACCCCCCAGAGTACGGCATTGTCGCCCAGGACACAGTTATTCACTGCGAGGGCGAGCCCATCCAGCGTGATGAGGAGGAGAACAACCTCAACGAAGTGGGCTATGACGACATCGGTGGATGCCGAAAGCAAATGGCACAGATTCGTGAGATGGTTGAGCTTCCCTTGCGACACCCACAACTATTCAAGTCCATCGGTATCAAGCCCCCTCGTGGTGTGCTCTTGTTCGGTCCTCCGGGTACCGGTAAGACGTTGATGGCTCGGGCTGTTGCCAACGAGACCGGAGCTTTCTTCTTCTTGATCAACGGTCCCGAAATCATGTCGAAGATGGCCGGTGAATCAGAGTCAAACCTGCGAAAGGCTTTCGAGGAGGCTGAGAAGAACTCGCCCGCCATCATCTTTATCGACGAGATCGACTCGATCGCTCCCAAGCGTGAGAAGACCAACGGAGAGGTCGAGCGTCGTGTTGTTTCCCAACTTTTGACCCTCATGGACGGCATGAAGGCTCGATCTAACGTTGTCGTCATGGCCGCAACCAACCGACCCAACTCCATCGACCCGGCTCTGCGTCGTTTCGGTCGTTTCGATCGTGAGGTCGACATCGGCATCCCCGACCCAACTGGCCGTCTCGAGATCCTGCAGATCCACACCAAGAACATGAAGCTCGGAGACGATGTGGATCTGGAGCAAATTGCCGCTGAGACCCACGGTTACGTCGGTTCAGATGTTGCTGCCCTCTGCTCGGAGGCTGCTATGCAACAGATTCGTGAAAAGATGGACCTCATTGACCTTGACGAGGACACCATTGACGCCGAAGTCCTTGACTCTCTTGGTGTCACCATGGAGAACTTCCGATTCGCCCTGGGTGTATCCAACCCATCTGCCCTCCGCGAGGTCGCCGTTGTCGAGGTGCCCAATGTCCGCTGGGAAGATATTGGTGGCTTGGAGGGTGTCAAGCAGGAGCTCAAGGAGCAAGTCCAGTACCCTGTCGACCACCCCGAGAAGTTCCTCAAGTTTGGCATGTCTCCTTCCCGCGGTGTTCTCTTCTACGGTCCCCCAGGTACGGGTAAGACGATGTTGGCCAAGGCTGTCGCCAACGAGTGCTCGGCCAACTTCATCTCTGTCAAGGGCCCTGAGCTGCTGAGTATGTGGTTCGGTGAGTCTGAGAGCAACATCCGAGACATCTTCGACAAGGCTCGTGCCGCTGCACCTTGCATTGTCTTCTTGGATGAGCTGGATTCCATCGCCAAGGCTCGTGGTGGCTCAGTTGGTGACGCCGGTGGTGCCTCGGACCGTGTTGTCAACCAGCTTCTGACTGAGATGGATGGTATGACTTCGAAGAAGAACGTCTTCGTCATTGGTGCCACCAACCGACCCGAGCAGCTTGACCCTGCCCTGTGCCGTCCCGGCCGTCTGGATTCCCTCATCTACGTGCCTCTGCCCGATGAGGCCGGTCGCCTTGGTATTCTTCAGGCTCAGCTTCGCAAGACACCGGTGTCATCCAACATTGACATTCCTTACATTGCCTCCAAGACCCACGGCTTCTCCGGTGCCGATCTGGGTTTCATCACCCAGCGTGCTGTCAAGCTGGCCATCAAGGAGTCTATTGCCCTCGATATTGAGCGCACGAAGGCCCGCGAGGCTGCTGGCGAGGACGTCGAGATGGAGGATGATGCCGAGGACCCCGTTCCCGAGCTTGAGAAGCGCCACTTCGAGGAAGCCATGCAAATGGCCCGTCGTTCAGTCACGGACGTCGAGATCCGCCGGTACGAGGCTTTCGCTCAGCAGATGAAGAACGCCGGCCCTGGTGCCTACTTCAAGTTCCCCGAAGCCGACTCTGCCGCCAACAACGCCGCCGATTCCTTCGGCGATGCTGGCAACGATGACGGTCTCTACGACTAAATGCAAAGTGTGGGGTCTTCGCCGTCTGTAATTTAGTTTCTTTGGTTGTTGCGGTCGCAGCTGAGCTTGAGAGCTACTGCTTGGTTCAAAGGACTGGAGACGAGTCGCTCGTCTGGGATGTCGATACAGGCAAGTAGATGGAGAATCGTCCTCGTTGCAGGACTTCTGGGTCAGGCAAGCTGCTTAGGAGTCAACTCAACATCTCCATTGATAGTGGCCACTGCCATGAAGCCGACGGCTCCACAAATAGACTGCGATCTTGGGAGTTTTCTGGCTGCCTTGGCACAGGCGATCTGGATTATGATAGATTTCCTTAATGAGAGAAAATCGCTTGATGAATGACTTTGAATCATACTGCTAATTTTGACTTGTGACCTTGCCTATATCTCATGTATGTAAACATACATCTATGAATATACCTATACACAGAGAGATAAGTTTGTGTGTGTTCTGGCAGTCACTCCTATTTACCTTCCTGCGAGCACCGCTCAGTTCCCTCGGAGAGGGTGAGAGCTAGTAAAGCGTTGCTCAGCTCTGCAAGTTCCTTTATAAGCGAGACACGCGGCCATCAGGAAGCGGATAATTCTCTTCCTCAAGCGCCCCGTTCTACATCGTAGTTGGGAGCTTACTGCGCCGGCTCAACGCTTGCGACTGTAGCCTGCGACTACATTGGCACGAGAGTCAAGGGCCGGCCTGTGATAGGGAGAGTTACTCTGTGTTGTGTGTTTTGGCTATGAGGTTTCGACTGGGTGAGAAAACAAGGCCTGTTTATGGCGAGGGAGAAAGGACGAGATCGGTGGCGTGTTGGGAAAGGCAGCCAGGCAGGCAAAGACTGGTCGGTGACCCACACCCTTTACAAAGAAGGGAGGGAAGAAAGGATGAGCGGGAACATTGAAGACGAAGTTGCGGGTGAGCTTTGCGGCCACGCCCGAGCCTGTTGGTCTTGTGGTTGATTAAAAGAGGGGTGGGGGGGGGGGGGGAGTAGGCGGTCAAATTGATTTACAAGCGGTCACATATATCGGATGTATCCTCCATCGCCAACGCTCCTAGCATGGCCCCCCAGACCCTGAAAGCACTCGCGATGATTCACGAGATTATACGGAAACACTTGGTCCGCTTGAAGCCCAGTAATAGGGTCAAGTGTATTAAAAGTTAACGTCTAGTAACGCCTCTTTCCCAATTCCTTTTGGATGATGATGATGATGATGATGATGAGCCCCCGGCCGTGTCCTGACATCGGATATGTATGTACGGTTTTTTATGCATCAATGGCCCCAGTATGTACGGTACCAGAATACACACCTCTTGCCTGTGCGGAGAGTGGTGGTAGAGAAAAATGACAACGGCCAGAACGCTGGACCTGGCGGCCTCGTCCGCCACTTTTACCACGGCACCGTGGGCAGCATTATATGTAGCAAGCAGCAATTCGGCGGCTGCTCATCGAGACCCAGCTCGTCAGCCGGACTCTTTCGTTCATTCGTGCATGACTGCTCTCGACAGGGTCGGGCCCCGCTCCCTGGCTCCTGTATTGCAGACGGCCCTGGACATCTGCCCCCCTCGTGACCCATTGCGGGAGTGCAGAACATCACTCGGGGGGCGACAGCACCCCAACTAGTCCAAGGGGTTTCTTGGTCTGCGTGTCTGCATGTGTCCTTTCCCTCTCTTTCTCTTTCTAACAACCGCTGCTGCGGGAGGGTGAAAAAAACAGCGGCGGCACCCATCGCTTCCGTTGAGAACCAGCCCCCGCCCGGATTCTCCATTCAGGTGGCGCCGTTGGACTCCTCCTCGAACTCGGCGACCTCCTTCAGCACGTCCCTCGTGACCTTGAGGGCCTCCTCGACAACGGTGGCGGGCACGCCCAGCGACGTCGACACCTCCCTGTTCAGGTTCGAGGCCTCGCCCGGCCCGGGCCCCGCGTGCTTCTTGGAGCCGTTGACCTGCACCGTGGACCCCGCGCCGTCTTTGCTGCCCGCCGCGGAGGAGTCGGCGCCGTTGCCGTTGCTACTTGCTGATGACGATGACGTCTTGGGTGGAGGGCCCGCGGCTGTTTCCTTGCGCACCTCTTCGAGAATTTGTTTCAGGAGGACGGGGAACGTGGTGACTTCGCCGCTCCGCAGGAGGGCGAGGGCACGGCTTTGTACTTGTGTCGGCCAGTTGTTTGTGTGTGCGTTGAGGGTGTAGAGGAGTTGTTCTTGGATTCTAATCGGAGGGAGAAAGAGCCGTAGGTGGTTAGCGAACTGCCTGCGAGATATGTGCTCTAGCCTGCTTGGAGGCACGCAGGAGGGTAGGGTGGGAGGAGGGACAGAGCGCTCGAACTCACTTCTTGTCGTGGCCGCCATTGATGAGCAGCATGTTGAGCTGCGAGCGCAGATCGGGATCCATTGTGGCTGGGGTATATGTAGCTGCCGCCCTCGGTATCTTGAGTTTAGTGGGTGGTGGTCGCAGGGAGTTTTGTGACATAGTAGGCGAGCTGGGCAGCCGTGATGGACGTGCAGGGAGGGGAGCACGGCGCTGGGCTGGGCTTTTTATGTGTGCGAGGAGGTGGTGGTGGTCTGCCGCAACAAGACTGACGCCCGCGCGGGTGAGATTGGGTGCGACGGCGGCGGGCAACAAGCTCCAGGGTAGCTCGTGGTTAGCGCGCCCAACGCAGAGAGGAAGGAAGCGAGGGCAAGGGAAAGCAAGGGCGATGCAGCAGACAGGAGCTTGCTACTCCAACTCGTCTTCAGGGTGAGGTTCGCGTTGCTGCTCGTCAGTTCTGCTATGCCCTGCAGCAATGAATGGATGATGGTGTTTGCGTTTGTTCGTTCTGGTCAGTTCTGCCTGGCGTTGTGCTGTGCTGTGCTTTGCTGTGCTTTGCTGTGCTGTACTCGGCTGTGCTCTGACTGCTGCTGTAGCAATCGCTCGGGCGCGTCCCAATGCTGCAGGCTCGCTCGCTCTTCCTGCTCGATTGCGGGACAGAGGCGTGTCCTGCTGCTGCGAGCTCCAGGCGCAGAACGTCAATGGTGAGCGGCTGCTGCTGCTGCTGCTGCTGCTGCTGCTGCTCTCTGAGAGATGCAGGAGTAGGGGCAGGGACGGGACAAAGCATGCAAGAACTTGTCGTTTAGTGAATTGAAAGAGTTAGCACTGGCGTCCGGGTGTCAGGAGAGACAGTTCTCAAAGAGATTGGCGAGTAAGTCAGTGAGAGAGCGAATGCGGAATGTCGTCATGAGAAGGAGCAAAGTCAAAACGCAATTCAGCGACGCAAGGCTGGATGCAATTCTGGAATTCTGGAAGCCTGGAACTCGGCCTCGGGCAACGTCTCCACAGCCTCGCCGGCCGATTGACTGGGTTTTTTCAATGGATTTTCTCGATGATGTTGCAAGGATTTTCTCATAGGCACGGGTCATTTTGCACACGGCTACAGTCAAGCCGTCAAGTCCAGAGCATCAGGGGTCATTCAATCGTAAGATTAGCAGTCAACGAGCCTTGGATTTTCCTGTCCGCAAGGGCTCCCCGTCGGCACATGGCGCCGCATGGCATCGCACATCTCCTCTCCTCTCTCCCTCATATCCCGCTCGCTCCACATAAAAATGCGAGCCCCAACTTCCAGACTGACGCGAGAGTTTAAGTGAGCAACACATATAGCAGACGCCCTTCCGTCGTCCTACATCTGACGCGCAATGGTGAACAAAAGAAAGAAAAACAGCGAAGGTATATGCCCAATCTCCGGTGGTATTACAGTTTTCGTGCAGCCGTCCTTCTGCTCGCCTCCCAACCCTTCCGTCACCAAGAACGCCGGCCTTTGAATTATGTAGCAAGGCCATTACAAGCAGGGGCCTGCAACCTGGAGCTTTTTGAGACAGTCATAGATGCATCATAGAGTGAACAGGAGAAAAATTTGTACAATCGGTGGGTACGTCGTCAAGGCAGATGAGATGGTCAGAACGGTGGTGGTTCGTTAAATGCTGGCAAAAGACAAGGGGTATCTGCGTTTGTGACCATTACACCGTGCCTCGCAACCGCTGCTTTCGGGCAAGCCAGTCGCCAAGCATGTGGTCAAGTTGCTGTTACACCCATCGTCAGTGATAAATGTTCGCACATCTCTGCACTAGTGTTATAACTCACAGTGGTGATCTCCGCCAGCTTGGCATTCTGTTCTTTGAACAGCGTGCCGGCGACTGGATGTTCCGGCCCAACCGGCTCGACATCAGTCTTGTCGTAGACTACAACAAGGAGATCTCTAATGTCAGTGCCCGAGTCGAAGAATTCCCGCAGGCTCGTGTCATTCCAGTTTGATACTGTGGTTGTCGAGGTGGACGTGGTAATGGAGTCCTGGTTCCGGTGTGTCCCACCAGCCTCTTCTCTGTCGATCAGCTCTGGTGACGGCGACGACACCGGTGATGAATGATCTTCTTGGCTTGAGGTGTCGCCGACGAGGGCTGGCGGCTTGTCTCCACTCGGAGTGATCGGCGAGACCTCGATTGGCGATTCTGACAACCTGTCCTGTCGCTGGGCAGCCTCTGGAGCCCGTTCTGGCGTGATAGTCGAGTTGGACTGTGCGGATTGCGTGCTCATGTAGCTGTCCGGGAACGAGCCCGGGAGGATCGGCCGAATAGGTTTCTCCGACTGGGACTTCTCCTCCTGCGGCTTTGCCTGCTGCGGCGTCTCCTGTTGTGGCCGCTCCTGCTGGATCCTCTCCTGCTGGGGTGACTCTTGCTGGGGCTTTCCTTGAGTCTTCGCACCCGACGCTGACATCTGCCTGAGTGTCTCGTTGTAATCATCCTCAGAATCCGAATCCTCGATCTGCATACGCGATTTCGCAGTTGTAGCCTGAGGTGGTGTCTCGTCAATACTCTGCGACCGGGGAGCCGCTGATCTTGATGCGGCCGGCTTGGAGGCATCCACCGGATTCGAACGTACAGCATCGGGTCCTCGAGAACTTTGCGCATTTTCCTGAGTATCCTGGGCGTCTGGCTCGACGAGTCGCATGGAGGCGGGCGGCACGTTGGAGACATTCTTCAGCTTGTCTTCATTCAGGAATGTTGAAAGATCCACACCGTTAGCGTCCCTCGAACCAGTCCCGGACTTGTTCGCCAGCGACGGTTCCACTCGTGGTTGCTGCTTATGCAATTTGCTTGGATTCCGTTGTGGTGAAGCACCCGCCTTGTCCGGGTCGTCATTGATATCTTCAGAATCTCTCTCCGGCGCCTCCACAAGCGCATCCATGGATCGTTTGCCGAGAGAATCGTCATCGTCGCCGCCCTTCTGCTTCTTGTCCTTGCGCGAGAATAGGCTCCGGAAACCGCCCTTCTTTTCCTTCTCTTTCTTGTCTTTGCCCTTCTTCTCTTCCCTGATTTCCTTGTCCAATTTGTCGAAACTCGGGCGCTGTTTAACGCCCTTATCCGAATCTGTTGATGCTCTAACAGTCCCGTCATCTCGAAGCAGGTTTGGCGTGAGGGTAATTTTCTTCGTTTCGACCGTGTCGTCCTTGAAGAAGGAATCCCTAACTGTGCCGTCGGCCTTTCTCTTTGGGCCCTCCACACCATTTGTCTCGAATATCTCCTCGCTGGTTCGATTCTTGGTCGTAGGTGATTCCTCTTTCGAATCTGAGTTAGCAGGGTCTACGATCTGCACAGACTTTTGCGCCCGTGGCCTGAGCGGCGCTACTTGTGCAGCCTCTTCGCTGGCCGCGGCTTCTTCGGCAGTAGTCTGTTTAGCAGTTGCTGTTTGTTGTTGAGATTGCTGCTGCGCCTGTTGTTGCTGCTGCTGTTGTTGCTGTTGAGCGTAGAACTCAGCCTCGGCCTCCTCTTCCTCTTCCGTATCGTAGTCAAAGTCTGAGTAGTCCACGTATGTTGGAGCCGCGAAAGAAACGTTCTTCTTCCTCCGGCGCATCGCGGTCTTGATTGGGTTCTTGGTCTTGTCCGATTGATCGCCCAGCATGGTTGCCGACAACTACACAGGTCAGTTCAGTGCTAGGGTGCTGCGCTTGGTCTACCTACGTCAATGTTCCGGTGCTTATTCAAACGCGCAAGTCTTTCAGTCGGTGTTTCGATATGCTCAGCCGGCAAGTAACCTTCATAATTCGTCAGCCTATTTCACCCCCCCCCCCCCCCTCAAAACGCAAACAAAAAGCTGCGGGGCTCATCATACCAATGCTGCTGTCCTTGACCACACGGACAAGCCACCAGTAACTGTTGCTGTCGTCCAACAGAACCATGGCGTCGCCCTTGGTCGCGTTCGCTTGGCCTTCGACGGTTGCTATGAACGTGTGTAGGGCGTAGACGAGCTCGAAATCGATGTCCTCTGTATCGTGTAAGCACTCACCGCCCCAACCAGAATCGATAAACCTGGGGTCATGAAACTCAAGGAAATTGTCGTCATCATCATCTTCGTCGAGCGAGCCCTCATATGGGACAATCAAGTCGTCGGTACTGCAGACCTCGTCTTCCATTTCGATAGCCTCGTCAACACCAGATTGCTTGGCCTCAAAGGCTTCTTGCGATGCTGGTCCCCCCTCGGGCAAGATGACCTTGGTGTTCTGAGTACTATTCTCCATGCCTGGTAGACTGTGGCCAGGTCCCTGCAGATGTGAAGGACTGCGACTCCTCACTGTTTCTTGTTCCCGTTCCTCTGTCGTCGTGTTGACATTGCCAGCCTGAGCATCAAGGCACTCGGGAAATGAATCAGGAAGATGATGATGACGACGGGGAAACGCAGCAGCAGGCGACTTGTCTGCTTGCCGAGGCGGAAGCTGTAGGGGTAAGTAGTCAGGCTGGTCGAGGTATGGGGAAGAGGACCTCGCCTCGCTGAAGCATGCTGAAGCCGGAGAACTACACGGCGACACGCAATGGTGTCTAGGCATTCTGAGAGTTGGGAGGTGATAGATTGAAGACCCACCATCGTCGATAGAAGGCGAACTCGAGATCTTGTCCATCATGTCGTCGTCGTCCAGGTCGCCCTCGTCGCCGTCCAAGTCGCCATCCTCGGTGTTGTCCTGGGAGATCAAGCCACCGTTTTGCGCGACAGCGAGGTCGTCCTGTTGGCGTGCGGCCATGTTGTCGGTGTTGCGGGACTGGCCGTTGAGGGAACTGGTGACGCCGGCGGCCAGGTCTTCTGCGTATTGATGTAGGTCGCCAGCCTCGCCGCCGGTTGTCCAAGAGACTCGGGGGCTCCGAAGCTCTTCCTCTGCTTGTCCGGCTGCGACCTCCCGTAATGTCTCGGCCTGGTGAGGCGCGGTGCCAGCAGACTGGGAGGTGTTGAGGGGGCTGGGTCGAAGAGGGTGGCTCTTTGCGGAAGGTGCTTCGCGATCTTGGAGGTCAATCGAGTCTGTAGGGAGGTTGGAATGAGAGAGTCAGCATTGTTTTGTTCGGTAGGTGTGCCAGGGGCTTGGGCTCAGATGCGACAGGGTGTGGGTTCCCAGGGACGGGCAAACTCCCCAGACGGCCCAAGCAGAGACAGTGTGGCAGAGGCGATGGGGAAGGCAAGGCTTGGAAGGCTTGAGAGAGAGTCATGCTCGCGCAGAGCACATGCCACATACCAGCACGAATAATTTCGGGTCTTGTCATGTTGGATGGGTAGGATCTGCCGCGACAGCGACAGCGACAGCATTAACAGCACAGGTGGTATGGAGACGGCAATCCGTCCGATGATCGTATTGTCGTGATTACCGGGGGTGACTGAACCGAGTAAGAGATTGTAACTGATTGATCGATGGATGGATGGATTGGTTTGAAGGATCGATTAATTGATTGATGTGATAGATGTGCGGGCCGCCAACAAGACAAGGCCAGACAGCGAGACGTGCCAGAATTTAGTTTCTTGGTGCTGGTTTCCGGTACTCTTCAGCGCGGGATCTTGATCCTGATCCTGATGCTGGCGCTGGCGCTGGTGCTGGCGCTGTTGGTTTGATGCTGGCTGATGCTGGCTGTGGACAAGGGGCGGGAGAACATGGAACAAGGCTCAGGGGTTTGTGATGAGCGGGCAGGGCTGCGCTGTGCTGACTGGGCTAGAAAGACAGGCTTGCGTGACAGAGACGGGATGGTGGCCAGGAGTAGCGGTTGGGCGGGTTTTGGGCTTGGAGATCCAACGTTCTCGGCACCAGGCTAGTAATTTGGCCGTCGCAGCGCCGGCCGTCGACTATAGCCTCAAGTGAAAGGACGGGAAGACACACGAGCGAGCGAGGTGTGTGGTCTCGACCACGGCTTATTGTTTCTCGACCTCGTCCCTCAAGGATCTGATCCCCGCCCTCGCAGCCAGTGACGCCAGACGGGACTGTGCTGGGCTGTCGCAGGACTGACTTTGTTGCCTGTTGCACGCAACGATGATGACGGAGGACCGCTGGAGCTTGCAGCTGCTGATGGGGGATGTGGATGGGGATGCCCGTGGCCGTGGGTCAAGGCCAATTCGACCTGCAGCAAGGTCCACTATCCCATCCTGTGTGAGTGTGAGTGCGTGTGTGTGTGTGCAGGTACGACACCAAGTACAGTGGGCTGCTGAGCCAGGGACCTGCCACGGTACTGGAAGTTCCAAGGTTGTTGTGTGGGTGGCAGAGGGCCGCTTGGGGGCACGTGCGTCACGATGCAGGAAGCAGAAGGACACGGCATCTACTTCCAAGGTTTGCTGTACAGTCAGATAGTGGCTCTGCAGCTTCTGTCCGATCCAGAGGCTGAGCTGAAGCAGAGCTGAACTGTCTCACTACACTGAGTAACAAGCCAGCCAGCCAGCCTCAGTCGCGTTACGGTCGTGGTACACAGGCCCGAGTCTATCCTCTTCCAAAGTTCAAAGTTCAGACAGTGGCCCGCTGTGTGGTGTTTAATTTGGCCTGAGACTGCTGCCACCTGCTTCCAAGTTCTCATAATAAGCATGGGCTGTACTCGGCACCCATGTATCCACCAAGGGACGATCGCCCACTTGCATCTGCTCCCAGAAACCCTGTATCTCCGAGCCACCCAAGAAACGGCACACACAATATTACGAGTGTTACGAGGACCCTTCTTTTCCCAGCGCGGAAGAGGCAGCCCTTTTGGGCGCAGGAAATTTACCTTCCCGCCCGCATGCCAAAGCGGGGGCCCATTTGGCGATGGAGTCTCGTCGTCGCGGCGGGAGCCGGTACGCTTTTGTCCCCTTCCGCGGCTCCTCTTTTCTCTGGGGGTCTTCCCAGACTTGAAACAATCAAATGTTGTTTCTCGGTACACATGTGGCAGCTGGTGGGGCCTTGCATGAAGCCCTTACCCACCCAATCTTTGACCCCTGCTGGCTGCGTTCCAATGACATCCCTCCATCGCCCACCAGGTCAATAAAACCCCCGACATAATCCATCCATCTTTCCTCCTCCTGTTCCTCGCGCGCAGGTCCCGCGCAAATTGCCGGCGCGCTCGCATTAACGCTGGTGACAAGAATAAGTAAAGAGATATATACTGTACACACCCTTTGCGATCGAAATAGCAGCACAGGACAGTACTGACACGGCCCCCTTTGCGAACCCATGACAGTAATGGCAAAGGTCTAGCCCACCTGCAAATCATCTCCTCATGAGAGCCCGAGCAACCAGAACAACCACGACGCACGAGGCTCCCGTTCGATGTCGAATGCTCACGTGCTCACTAACATGCGTGCCGGCCATCGACGACTAAGACCATTGCTGGCCATAGCCATCATCCCTCCCAGGCCCTGCGGTCCGGGACCTGCATCGCGGATCAGCACGGGCACGTGAATTCTGCCGTAGTGTCGACGTGCGCCGGCGCCACTCGCCACGGGCGCCGGGCGATGGCCAACGTCAAAGAGGATAAACAAAGGCGACTGGCTGCTCTTCCAGGAGGCGGGCGCGTGGCTGTCTCTCGAACTCGCCAAGTGGTGATCATGGCCGCAACCAGTCAAACCAATCTGCCGGTGACTGGATGCAGCTCATTTCTCGAAACCAAACATTGGGACTCTCGCACCTCCCGTCTCCCGGGGACTCGGTCGCCCTAAAATGGCATCAGCACTAGGGCATCCTGCCCTACCCCGTGCCGAGTGGTAGACTAGATTCCCTCCCGATCCCGGGGGCGTGGCACACGACGCCTCGCATCGTGCGCCGGTGGTCTGTCCGTCCACGCCAGGTCCCGTTGTAATTGACTTCCCACCGCGCCGACACTCGTATCTTTGATGGCGCTCGCTACGTGGTCTAGACCGATCTCTGCCTTTCAAACAGGGGCGCTGGAAACACAGAGCACCAGGTCTCTGCCGAAAGAGGCCATGTAGATCGTGTAGAACACTACGCACGCCTTCTTGCGTTATTGCGGGCTCTGTCGGCTGTGATGACTTGTCGAGGGGACGACGATATTGCTCTTAGCAGATTCAAGAGGCTCACTATGATTCAAGAAACGAAGATGGCTGTACACCATGGGCTTGAACGGTCTTGTTCCCCTTCTCTGGTATTCCATAGTGTCTTAGCACAGCTCTCATGATCCCAGATATCTGAATTCAACTGGGCCAGTGCACACTTTCTTGAGATGAATTTCTCTAGAACGGTGCCACATAGACTACGGGATAATTTCAAAGTATTACGGGACACAATCCTGTGCTAGATGTTTCTCTCCTGATCCCTTTCTATGCTATCAAGGACCAGTGCAGATGTTTGGGCTTTCTACAGCTGTGTCTCACTCAATACTCGCTGATACGTCGCCGGTGACTCTGCTGATTCCTAAGTGTCGTCTGTACTAGTGAGAGCATTTTCTTCCGGAAAGAATGGAGGACAGGATTTTAAGGACGTGGCGTATGTCTGTTCGATCTAAAGCTCTGAGTTCATGGCCGCCGCAGTCTTTACCTCTTCTCACGCACAGATACATTATAGCTTTGTACAGCATGCTCGAGTGACGTCCTGGCTAATCCAGTGGTCTTTTACAAAGGCACAAGTGTCTCTTCTTCCGCCCCCAAAGTGAATCGCTCTCTCATAGCGTACGCATATCTTCACTAGTAGATAGAGTGGCATGTCAGCCAGGATCTGGGAGCATTCGCCCTGTCATAGTGCGTGAGGGAGGGTTTGACTGCTGTCCAGCAAGAAGAGGTTTCGAATCCGCTACCACTGCCCAAAATTTCATGGCCCTGTTCAAGGACCCAGCCGTATGGCCCTTAATTGACTTGATTCTTTGTACATACGCTCTAGCTGCCACAATCGAAACGCCTCTGTAACGAAGGATTGAGCCCGCCTCGGGCCAGCGAGCTCAAGGGCGCCTGAAGCATCATGCTGAAGCGAGAAGTGTTCTGCGCACTCAGCTGTAGCTATCGGCAGATTGATATACCCAGTCCTTGGCTACAACCACCCCGTGAGCGACCTGGCTGCCGAAGATGAAGCGGCCTGTGTTCGGGCTGATATATGGAGGCGTGAAGTACTTAGAGAGTACATATCTGCGAGGCCCAGGATGGGTGAGAATACCGTCTCTCATCGGAATGTCGGGCTCATAGCCTTGTGATACAGGCGAATTTCCCCAGGCGTCCTGGTGTCACCGATTGGTGGTCACACGACGTACAGGCTCTATCAATCTAGAACGGTCCTTTGATAATCACAAACCCATGCTCCTGACAAAAGCACTCAGATGGATGACCGCCGTCTTCCCTCATGAGATTTCAGATCGAGTAAGTCCGGGATTCTTCGACCGTGAAATCCTCTTCCTGGAACTTGTTAGCCTTGGATCTTGCGGCACTTAAAGTCCATGCAATTAGATTCGAGGGAAGAGCTTCTATTTCCGGCCTGTTTGTTGTCTCCGCGACGTGAAGCGGATAACAAATAGACAGATGAGCAGTGTACTCTCAATCAGCTTTGCTGACATGCTGTTCTGTATTCTTGCAACTAAGCGAGACATCATCATGAGCGTCTCTTCTTGACGTGGCCGAGTCTCCACCAGGTGTAAAAAGGGGATAGAGCAGGGAGACGACTAATTGCCTTTTTGGCACACGTGAGATTATTGCACAAGCTTCACCATCCTTAGCCAATTTTCACAACACTTCAGTCATTATGGTTGGATCCACGAGGCCAGGCTCGGGTAGGAAGCACATATTCTACCTCTTGAATTCTCTTCACCGTTTCCCGCATTATGATATACCCGACGTCGACGGAGAGCATGATTGTTCACGTCTCAGACAAAAGCGATCATGGGCGGTAGAGCAGCGATACCAAGCAGACGGCCGCAGATGACATCCTTTGTCATTGATATAGGGTAGACTTCCAGAAGGAGACAACACCATAACGAGGCATGTTCGCATATCGGCGACGAACACAGATGACGGCAGGAGAAGAATGTATCAGAATTGGCAAATGCGCTTCGTAGGCCTCATGTTTAGAACAGGTTGCTCTTTACCTAGCAAGATCGGTTACCTCTAGAATCTCACACTCTCACGACAGGGATAGTACTTGATGGCGCCCACGTCGTAGGGCCTCAGAACCCGATCAAAGAGAAACCAGGACGCACGAACGAGGTAACAGTAGTCTGGTCTGCTACTGATCACTCGACCATCAGCAGGACACCATAGACGCGACAAGTCTGTTGTGCCCCTGAGGACCCTATTTCGGTCCCAGGGGCGACCTCCC